TGGGATATCAAAAATAGATATAAAACAGCAGTCACTCTTAATACCATTTTATGCACTTCAAATGCAAGGCAAGACCAAAAGTTTTTCTATCAAGCCTCCCTACTCCCTTCAAAACTAAAATTATGCATGAGTTGGTATTAAAGAACTTGTAGTGGTCTGTATTAAGAAACTATATATTTCATGGAAAATCACATAATCCTAACTACCATGTTCTGTTTATAATCCTGCTATGATTATCATGACCCCACACAAACTCAATTCTTCAAGTGTTAGGCACTCTTCAGTAGATCAAGAAACAGCAGTATTTTCATCCCCTGCCTGACTTGACTGGTATGCTATTTGTTTTTCATCAGCCATTAAAAACTGAAGCTTTAGACTTGGAGCAAAAATATGCATAAACATTTGAGAAAAAACCCCAAGCTCACTGAAAACAGTGTATTTGGAGATGCCTTGCAAAAAAGGGATTTGGTCTAACCTCTCAGTTCCACAGAATTATTTTATTTCCAAAGAAACTCCAAACAGGAGTAGGGAGGTACCCCCAGAACTTTTACAGTTTTCTGAGAAATAAGCAGGGTTTATTTCAGTGTTTTTAAGAGTTAATTTTTTGCCTACTGGGACTTCAAAACAGGAGTTAACGTGCCTTTGCACAACCTTGATGCCACAATCTTTTATAGATTAACTACCTTCCCCCTCTTAATATACACACTTGTCCCTGCTACAGGTCTGTTTTCCAACCTGGCCTGGAATCAGCAATAAAAAAGTACTTTTACATGGAAAACTCACAAGCAGAGCAGAGGGAATTCTAAAATTTCTGAAGCACCACTGCCTAGATGTCAATTTGGAAATATAGTTTTACCAAATCCATTCTTTTAAGAAATCTTCACGACACAGTTTGTCATTACAACCTCTTAGTTGAAGTAATACAAGACCTGAACAAGATCCACACTTAAACACTCACCAATATACCCCTTATTAGCAGAATCTACTGCAGGTGCAGCAAGTTCCTGGAAAAACAAAAAAGCTTTTCCAGCTATTCTATATACAAATTGTAATTTTCTTGCCAGTTATCATTACAATGAGAATTACAAAAGCCATTTTTAATCAGTCCTTGTCTGTAAATTTCCTGTGGAAAATTATGGGGCATGCAGTGATTTGGCTCATAGTTCATGGCAGGCCAGCAGTAAATTTGAGGCTACAAAGAATGTACAGTCCAACCATCTAAGCCCCAGGGCACTTATTGATGAATATTCAATAACTTTTCAGTTATATAGCTTTTATCTAGAAATAACAAGGAGTTTATACATCTTTCCCTCTACATGATGGGCACCATAAAAATACATATCCTCAGACTACAGGTAGGATTAGGTAATTAAATTCTATATGAACTTTCACATCTGAAAGTAACTTAGGTGAAAAACTGTAATTGTGTCTGGCACATTACTGTAACTCTGTGGGCAATTTATTCTAAACACCAATGCACAAATTCAGCTAACAGATCAATTAAAATAAAACCCAGCCATACCGCTTTCACTCCACAAATCACTGCGGTATTTCCTAACCTCACCAGAGCAGAACCATCTGCAGTTGTAATTGAACCTGAAGAGAAAAAGTACTGTTCAATAAAATCTATTTTTAATTCAAAGAGCATTATTAACATCCGCCTTTACAGAGTGTTAACTTTCCATCATTTTATACTAAACAGAGGCTAAGCAACGCCTCAAATCCAGAGTGGGACAGAATCTCTGTATTAAACAGTCAATTACACAGAATGGCTAAGGCTGGGACAGCTGGACCTCATCTCATAGGGTCCAACACCCCTACTCAAAGAGGGCCACCTACAGCTGGTTGCCCAGAACTGTACACAGATGGCTTTTGATTATCTCCAAGGAAGGAGACTCCACAACTTCTCCGGCCAACCTGTGCCAGCGTTCCATCACTCTGTCACTAAGAAAGTGTTTTGTTGTGTTCAGAGGGAACCTCCTGTGTTTTAGCTTGTGCCCATTGACTTATGTTCTGTCACTGGGCACTAATGAGTAGAACCTGGCTTTGTCTTCTCCACATCCTCCCTGTTTCAGGTATTTATATATATTGCTCAGCACTGGACACAACACTCCAGGTGTGGCCTCACCAGTGCTGAGCAGAGCGCAGGATCACCTCCCTTGACCTGCTGGCAATGCTGTGCCTAATGCAGCCCAGGACAGCATTGGCTTCTTTGTAGCAAGGGCACATTGCTGGCTCATTTTGTCTCTGCTCGAGGCAGTTGCCCACCAAACTCAGAACACAGCAGAAGCCAGGACTCAACGTCCCTCCGAAGATTCTCGGGCATCAATTTTGTGCTGGTCAGTGTATGCCTTGACTGCTGCCTCCAGCATCCGTAACAGATGCTGCTGACCTTAGACAGAGACAAGATTCCACAACCACCTAATTTGTGCTGCACATACCTGGACAGGAGCAGACCTAAGTAATTACATTGTGCACATCAGCCTGGTAGCAGGACTGAAAAGAATGTTAAAGTATATTTCTGTACTATGCATTCTCTTTCATGCTTGCTGAAACAGTAAATAAAAATCCTTTCTCTTCCTTGTTTCAAAGCAAGAACAAAGAAAACCAAGCAAGTCATTAAGGTCACTATTATAACCCGATATTATTAATACCTCCCCCATTATTATTATTATTCCAAATAAGCACTTGCCTATGTTGACAGGGGTTGCCCAGAATTCACCTAACTCCCTTCCATTGAGTCGACAGTTCTCTTTCTAAACAAACATTCCGAAGTTCAAATTAGAAAGTATATTTTATTAAATAATACAGTAATATTTACTTTATAGGAGTTAATATAAAATAATACTCTTTTTAGCAGAAATATGCATCCTCAAAAAATGCTAGGGAAAACTTTCTAGCTGGTTTTTCATCAACTGATATGTAGTTTGTAGCTGTAGGCCTGCAAAAAAAATTCCTGATTTTAAAAATTTATTATAATTTATTTAGAAAATATAACAATATATTTATTGTCTCAAAGGTAAGTACTACAGGCTAGATTCAGAACATCATCCAAGAATGAATACTCGTTGGTAACTTCAAATGAGAGTTTCCACCTGTCTGTGTTGTTCAGGTATCACAGGCAATTTCCCTCCTCCAACCCCACCTAGTGGAGCTTAAAGAGAGTGAACTAAAGCAAAACAACCCCCAAAAAAGTAATATTCAAGTACCATCAGGCAGAAGCTGTACAATACATGACTGTTAAGTTAGAAATTGAAACAACATTCTATCATGTTAGATCTCAAGAACTGCAAGAAAGAAGAGATTAATTATAAGCAATTTACACAGGCATCTCACGTTTTACTCACCAAAAACCTTCTGTAATATTACAATGGTTCCGCAGTTCTAAAACAAATAGAAAGAGGAGTTCACATGCAAGCTCTTTAGTAGGCAAGAGATAGTAAAGAAATATAAATAAGCACTAACCTACAATGACTATAATTTGAGAATGAAGGTGCCTGGCAAAGCTGCTTAGCAATATGGTTACAGAAAGATGAGGAAACTCTGAACTGGTCTACGATGTTTTCCTACATTCAGTTGCAAAATACCTCCTCCTTATAAGGAACCTGCCTGCACATATACCTAAAAAAACTACTAGCTTTCACCTCAAAAACATTAGTTATAAATCAAAAGATATGTTTACTGACAGAAGGGTGTAGAAAGGTTAATGCAGAACTGCAGAAAGCATAACTGTGTCTGAAATATGTTAGTTCAAGGACCACATGCAGATGTACAAAATTGTATAAAATAATTTTAAATGCTAGTTTTTCTTAGAATCTTTGAGAAAATATTAAATTAAAAAATATGCTTCGGGCAGGGCTTTAGGTGAGAAATAATTAACACTCATTATTAATTACATAATACTAACAGTGTTCCTGTATTAGCATTTTAAGCAAGGATCACTAATGTAAAAAAACCCCACCTTTTATGAAAGTGTTAGTACTTAAACAAAGCATTCACAGTTTTGTTAAAATAGTGCTTCTGGAGGAAAAAAAAACACAAAAAAAGACAAAAGGGAATAGCAAGTTTTCCAAATGCAAACTAACATACAGAGATATCACAAACATAATGGCAAGCATGAATTAACTCCTGTTGGCTCCACATATGTTGGTCCTGTACTACTGGTTTTCTGAAGCCCAATACAAGGCCTGTTCTGTTCCAATTCATGTAAAAGTATACAGAAGCAAGAACACTAGAACAGGCCACCCAGAGAAGCTGTGGATGCCCCATCCCTGCAAGTGTCCAAGGCCAAGTTGGATGGGGCTCTGAGCCACCAGGTCTAGTGGAAGCTGTTCCTGTCCATGGTAGGACCGGGGCAGAATCAGATGATCTTTGACGATTCCCTCTGATCCAAAACCATTTTACTGTTCTAAAAATTAATAGTTACAAATGGAAACCACTGAACTACCTACAGTTTTAAAACTTCTTGTAAATGCTATCAATTGTGTCATCAGGGAACTCAGCACTGAGCCCGCCCCGCCGCCTGCTGCTTGAAGGTCGGGCAGGACCCCCAGAGCTTGGTCAGCGGGACACCCTGGAAGGCGGAATTCTGCTGCCTGTCTGCAGTGCCACATGTTACTCCTGCCCGGGGAGGTGGTGAAGTCACCGTCCCTGGAGGTGTTTTAAGAAAAAGACTGGACGGGGCACTCAGTGCAATGGTCTGGTTAACATGGTGGTGTTTGGTCATAAGTTGGACTCGATGATCTCAGAAGGCTTTTCCAACCTGATTGATTCTTTGATTCTGTATGTGGTGTCACCAAATAAAGTGCTCCAAAGCCTAAGTTCCATGGCTTTTTATTTTAGCCCTTCATAAGGCGATCAGAGCTTCTGTTTTGCAAGCACATGTGACTGGCTGGTCACGAGCCATGCCATCAATTTCAGTGGTACAGTGGGGGATCAGAGGTGGCACCAGCTTTGTATGCTTGGAATTACTTGGGAAAGGGGCAGTGGAGGCTTGGACCATGACTTTGGAGGCATCTATGTGCTTTGCAGTCAAAAATAGCAACAAGCCAATGATGCTGACAGTGGTCAGACTAGGAGTAGCCAAATGCCATGAGAGAGTTTTGATCCTATGTGATTCAGTCATTGGATGAAGATCCACACCATTGACCCACCTCATTATTGAGATACAGTCAGTTGCCCTTTGTAGCACATTCAACAGCTAGGTCAATTTCTAATAGAATGCTTAACAATTTTTCTTATTTCTTTTGCATCACAGATTTGTGCAATTGCTCATGTAACTGTGAAAAATATGCCAACCCTTTACCAGCACAAAGAAGAGAAATTCTTCCTAAACGATGAAGGCAGAAAAGAACCTGTACCAAGTATACATGATCCCCCTATTGTTGTTGTGCCTTCATACAATGAGGAAGACTGGTGTAACATTTTTCTTGTTTTGAGGTAAAGAAGAAAATCTATCTGTTGTAACTGTAATAATGCTGAGGTCAGTTATGTTTGGGGTACATTCTGGCAGATTATGTATCAGATTTTGGACAGAATTTCCAGAAAACAGTCCAAGTACATTTAATTTCAAAATTAAGCGATTGTGTGACGTGATTTCTGATGCTAAAAATAGCATGGGGCACTTGTAAAAATCCTCTCTATTTTAGTGAACCCCAGAGGAATGGTTGTTAATTGCCCCTGTAAATGCTGCAAAGCAAAAAGTAAAAAAAAAGACTTTCAAAACTGATTTGAGAGCTTCCCACTCTTTAAACAGTAGCAGCTTCAGACAAGTCTCTTTTTGCCCTCAGCCATTGCCAGCTGCAGTTTTTGCCTGAGGGGGATTCTAACTAGCTGAAGATCGTGAGTTTTCTTCCGTTGGGAGAACTTTCTGTTTTATTGCTGGTTTTTTTTTTATTTTATTTCCTTCCCCCTCCCCCTTTCCCAGTGTGGGAAGGGAAGGGGAATCGAGGTGTTTTGTGGTTTTTTTGTGGGTTTTTTTCTCCGACATACCCTGGAGGGTGTTGTTTTCCCCCATCTCACGTGGTGGCAACCAGGGATCTCACAGCACCGCCTGGTGACGGGCACCGGACATTACAAGTTCTGCACCTCCAGTGACCCAACAGCGCCACCTGGTGAATGGTACAGGACATTACAAGTTTGCATCTCCAGTGACCTGACGGTGCCCCCTGCTGACTGTGGTTGGAACTGCACCAAAGGGCACAAAAATTGAACTGTTTATTTTTCCTTTTGCCGATTTATCTGTTTGTTCTTGAAGGGGATTATTGATGGGTACAGGAGTATTGCTTGGTTGTTTTACTTGTTTTTTTTTTTTTCCTGTGTTTTTGTTAATACACACATACCTTTTAATAAAGGGCTGGGTTTTTTCCCTTTTCCATAATTTGTTTTCCTTCAATCGGAGCCTCCTAATTTTGGATTTATAGTTGCTTAGAAAGAGAAGTTTGGGTCTTTTCTCCTAACTCATCCTCAGCAAAAGACCCTTGTCTCATTTAAACAGGGACAGTTCTTTTTTGCATTCACTAAGGACAATACTTAGGGTTGCAGCTGCTACACTTGTCTGCTGAAGGTAGTGTTGAATGAAGGAGTTGATTTGCTCAGCTTTGCTTTGTGGTTATTCTCAGCTTGTTTGTGCAGGTGCTTTTGCCACTTTGCTGGGTATAATCTACTAACCTGACCTCCTCCATCTTTTCTCTGGTACCTCTTATGATGGATGAAGGTTTGGATTATCTAGAAAAAAAGTATTTTCTTTTTGAATTCAAAATTCGTTATTATTTAGTGTATTATGTATCATAATTTATTGATCTAGTCAATTTGTTATGTTGGTGTACATTAAACAGTAACACTTGGCCACTTAGAAGTAACACTTCTGTCTCTTACCAGTTATCTTTAGATCAAGTGCCAAAAAGTATTTTTAAATTAAGTAAAAATGTAATATACTGCTATGGGATTAAAAAATCTTCATGCAAAGGTTATCTTTCCAAGACAAAGCTAAGGATTAGCCATACATTTAACTTTTTTAACTAAATCCTAGTCTGTTCCAACAGGTTTCTTAAGTATCTGTTCTTCATTATGATTTATTCTCTGGGTAAGAAGCCCATTGTGAAAGTTTGAGGATTTTATTCTGTTTGGGTTTTCTCAACAATGGTGATGTTCTGAGCCTTCATCTTTTACAACTGAATTGATTTTTCAGTTCTGAATGGTAGCATGACAACCCAATGTGATGGCACATTCATCAAATATGGCAAAATTCTTTAATTATGCCATGTTAACAAATTTACTATATTGTATTAGTGTCCGTTGGCAACCATGAATGATTTAAAACCTGCTAGGGAGAAAAGAATAATGATGTTTGAAAGACCTACTACCTTCTTATGACATTAGATTAAATGTATTATTTCTGCTTTTATTTTCAAGAAACAAGATCCTTCATTCACTGATGAAGTGATAGTGCTTAATGATGGTAGTAAAGATCAAACTAGAAAGGTAAGAAAAAGAAGTGACTTGCCAAACAATCTGAGGTGTCAGGTTTTGTACTACATTTGCAGAGTATAACAATTTTTTGCATTTATATTGGTACTTGAAATAGTTGACAATTAAAGTTCCTATTTCTGAGTACTTTCTGTCATTCTATATGCATCATGGATGTCACACATGCATATGAATACAAATATAATTCTCTTGCAAATTCTAGTTTTCTTAACTGGCGACTGTGACAGCCATTTTCCTGCAGCTGAGATTCTCAGAATTCTAATCCTAACTTCAAGAAATTTCTTACAAAATACTCTATGTATGCATAGTGATGATGTGAATATGAACTTGAGAAAGCTAAAAAGTCTTTTAAAATACCCATCTCATACTATGATTAACAGAACATCTGACATAGTTCTTCCTCACACCCTTCATGGCATTGTTTATTTAAAAATCCCTGTGCCAGTAGTAGTATTTTCAAAATAGTTCTGTATTCTTCTGGTTCAGCTTTGATGTACGTCACTGGAAAGGAAGGCTTGCTAACTTGAGGGCTTTTTTACTACTGCTAGTAGTAAGATGTTTGAGGTAGATACTAAAATGCATACTGCTTTTTGATTTGCTTTCCTTAAGCTTGTCCATTAAGGATTGCTCGTAAATTTTTGCCTACTGTGCATTCCTTCTGACATCTGTTTTAACTGAGCATACAATGGCTGTGGGCCTCTGGACTTACAAGGTCTCAAGACAACCCTTAGAAAAATTAAGAGAAAACTCATGCTTTCTCTTCCTCACAGCATGGAACAAAATCTGCAGATCCTTGCAGTGTGAATGGGCTTTTAGATCAATGTGAATTTTTGTTTAAAACCACAAATAGCAGCAAGACAATAGATAAATAGGTGGTTGTAATAGAAAATTATATTTCTTATACTAACTATCGGTGTTAATATAAAAGATCTGCAATAGTATAAGTTAAATTAGGATTGAGTTTTTTGGAGGTGGGAGGATGGATTTTGGAGTATCCTGCTCTTTTGAACATGGCTAGTTTCTTCATCTTCTTGTTTTGACTGTAAACTGGTTTTTATTTTCCTGAACAGACTCCAGTAAACACTGGCAATGTATTTGTGCTGACTAAGTGGTTATAGCTCTGTGCTGTTAATTTATTTTATTTTAAAGGGTGAGCAAATGTAAACTTCTGCCTTGATTCCTGGGTTTGTTTTATGCTGGTTTTTTGTGTGTCTATCAGGTTGCAATGGAGTACTGCAAGAAATATGGAAGCGACAAAGTGCAACTGTTTTCTATGGTAAAAAGTCGAGGGAGAGGAGGAGCAGTCAGGATGGTAATTGATACTTTCATTTCCTTCTGTGTTTGAACTATCAAATATGCAGAAGATAGAAAATGCTGATTGACATTTTGAATTCAATGCATTAACAAAATGATTATGAAAAAACTAAGTACAGATTCTATAAATTAAAGCAAAAACTTTTTTTTTTTTTTCCAAAATAAGTTTATTTGAGATCTTGAAAACATTATTTTCCTGCCAGGAAGATCAGTAATGAAGACAGTTTTTGATATGAGATTTCAAGGGGAAAAAAACCCCTTGATTTTCATATTTGTGTAAGTTCTACTTAGAAATAGACCTGTGTTTATAAAAGCCAGCCAAAAAGAAAACCAGCAAACTGTCACAGATTAAAGTTAAGGTTTTGTAGACAAAATACAGCCAAATTTGCAAACTTTGCTCTCCAACTCATAGATGTGTTTTTTAAAATGGCTAATAAAGAAGCATTCTCATCCAGCAAAGTTTGTGTTTACTGAAGCCCACTGTTATCACCCACACTCAATAGCAGAAACAGCGCAATTTATGCTTTCACATAAACATTATCCTGAAATCATTATGTCCTAAAAATAAAATAGCTGTTGCACATTCAGAAAGAATATTTTTTCCCTAAGATTATTAACACCTTACTTTTATGAAAAAGTGTGCTGAGAATGCAGAGTTTCCATATTGCTTAAGTGTGTGTCTTGACAATGCTCATTTTTTTCTAACAATGTCCTTCAGATTTTCTTCTTCATTAATCACAGGTTCTAAGTTTGTTCCTTTTTGGAGATAGCTGCAGATGGGCAGGGATCTTCTTTTTATATGACTGCAAAATATGAGCGGTGCCTGGCAGCTTGAAAAAAGAAAATGTAATTAGGTTATTTACACTTTCCAGATATATTATTATAATTAGTGGAACATGAGAACAGTTTCAATCAAGTGAAGTGGTGATGAAAGCTGAGGTAATTCTTCATTACTCCTCTTGTATGTTTTGTTTTTGCAGCATATATGTGTTTTGTAAGCTTGCCAGCAGGGAATTTGTGCATTTTGAAAAGATAAAGCATTTCAAAACAGATTTTCTTACCTCATAATCAGGTTTTGACTTTGTTAGGTAATAGCTTTAACATGTCTTATAAATTAATTCAAATAAATATATCTGCTTTTGTCTCATCACACTTCTGGTATTTCCATATACATATTAAAAAGAGGCACTCTATTCTTCGTTGTGTGATCTTGTGTCGTGAATGACCACAACCATTTATTTCTGTGGTATCTGGAAACTTGGAATTATCATTCACGGTTCATGCTGATGCATGTTTAGATTCAATATTATGGAAAACATTAATGGATTTTACTGAGTTATAACAGTAATGGTCCTAAGGTTGTTCTCAAGACTTTCACTAGTCTCTTGACATTCCAAATGCTTTTGTCTGAAGGTGAAATAGTTTTCCTGAGATCAAACTGCAGGTCTTGTCCAGACTGTAGAAGGTCTAAGAGCAAGCACATTTAGTTTTAAAATGTTGTCTTTTATAAATGTGTTTTGTTCATGTGTACTAATTATTCCTTCCTGCTCAGGGCTAGGAGTCCTTGACATCTACAGCTCTGAGGTGAAGAGGGTATGGAAAGCTAGTTCAGAGCATGCAAAAATGAGACCCAGTGTACACTGGGGGGGCTGTGCACTAGAAATGCCAATCAGATGTTGTCACACTTCAAATGAGATCAGAGAGGAAGGGAAGGGTCTTGAGTCTTTCATAGTAGTGTCATATTGTGTTACAGTACAGTTGTTTCATAGTTTACATAGTTTCATTTGTGCTTTCAAAATAGTTGTGGATTGCCAACAAACTAAGCCAATCTGTCTTTCAGAAACATGTACAGATTTGAACAGATGTAAAGAATGAATGGTATATGGTTGTACTTTCACATGTAAATTCACTGGTGATTTTTCTTATTCTTTCTGTAATATTGACTTGAGTTTTGCTCCTGTTAGAGTTACCTCAGTTTTCTATAAAGTGCTGGAATAAATTCTCAAAAAATACATTCAGTTTGATTTTGCAGGTTTTTGATCTTGCCTAGTCCAGACACATCTCTGTCAATTCTGCAGAATCAATCACAACTCAATGCCATTACTAGAATAAAATATGAGCTTCTCAGTTTTTGTAAAGTGAATTTCTGTGATCAAACCTGAAAAGTAGTTAGCTCTGCTCATAATTGAAGTTGCCCACCAGTTTTCAAAAGCAGATTCCCAAGATTTTCCTTAAAACTGAGCATGTTTGAAATTTTAATGAAAATAGCTCACCTCATTCAAATTATGAGGCTTAGGTTATGCATTATTTTTTGCACAATAAGTAAACATATAGTGATGTCTTCTTTAAAAAAATCCACTTTTGAATTGTATGCCAAAGGTTGGAAGTAGGGTGCTAAATTTATTTATTTATTTTTTTAAAATAATTTCACAGAATCACAGAATAGTTAGGGTTGGAAGGGACCTTTGGAGATCATCTGGTCCAATCCCACTGCCAGGGCAGGCTTACCTACTGCTTACCAGCAGATTACACGGGAATGTATCTGAGTGGTTTTTGAATGTCTCCAGAGACTCTGTGGCCTCTCTGGGCAGCCTGTTCCAGTGCTCTGCCACCCCAAATATAAAGAAGTTCTTATGTTGAGGTATGAACTTTATATGTTTTATTTTATAGCCCTTTGTGCGTATTCTGCAAACTTTTTTCAAAACTTTGCAGATAAACTCTCCAGTAACTCTCTCCTTATTGAGCAGTCTCCTTTAGCAACTGTGTATACATCAGGCCAACAAAATTCTTGATTCCTTTCACCTTAGAGTTGTAGAAGTAAAGCCACATTTATAGTCTTGGTAACATACCCAGCTCCTACCTCGTATTCACAGATTATGAAATACAAGACACACGGGCTGCCACAGGTGACCAGGACACCACCAGGCACATGCTCTAACAGAAGTTTAGACTCACACTTTGTTTTAGGTTTTTGCTCTGCTCTGTGTTCCTTCAGGCCCAACATACCTCAGCTGTTGCACAGCAACCCCAGAATCAAGGGAAGATTCTCCTAAACACCATTTCAGAAGCAGATGTACTGGTTTAATTGCACAGAGCCAGAGAGAGGAGTGTTCCTGCTCCCTCTACACCTGTTCTGGGACTGCTTAGAGGCTCCCTCAAGCCATTTCAGCTCACTAATATGTCAGGATGCTGTCTTCTACTTGTTTGCTATTTTTAACTTTCTTCTCAGGTAGTTTTCTACCATTTCAGTGACCTAAAATGACTCCCTGTGGTCAGGGAGGGTGCAGCAGCAAGAGGAGGGCTTCCCCTTTTCACAGCTGTGAGCTCACCACAAGTTTAAAGACTGACTTGTCACCTGGAAGCTAGTACACTTTTCAAGGATAGGAAGTGTGAATTTAAATTCTCCCTTTTTTAAGCTGAGATAAGATGAGGTCTTGTTGCCCTCTTAAAATGAGACCTTTAATTTCTAAGGAAGAAAGTCCTGACTCTGGCTCTGACTCTTGATGTATTCCAGAGCCCCCACTAGATTTTACAGAGTGTCACAACATGGAATGGGAGGCTATGCAGACAACTTTCCTGATCACCAAAGCTGTCCTTCAAATCAGTGCTCTGCCTAGCTTGTCCTCACTCTTCTCTTTATAGATTTGCAGGGATACATTTCTATTTCAGTGGACTCTTAACCTTTACTATCTCTTCCTACCCTTGCATTTACAGGGGTGACCCAGGGAGGTGGAAGTCTTCTATGTTACTCACTGTCCTGCATGACCCAGCCAGCACTCCAAAGACACATCAGAACAAAGTATTCTCACAGAGTTTGAAAAGGAAATAAAAACAAACAGAGAAAATCTACATGGTAATTTTTGCAACATTCCTACCAACATCAATGTCTGCATAGCTAGTGCTTTCATAAACACAGATTTCAATTTTTAAAGAAAACCCATTTTTATCTCTACATAAAAGTCTTACTTTTCTGCGCCCTTTGACTAATACTTCATAAGAGACTTTTTCAAGAGATGACTTAACATAAAAGAAGTGTCTTTAAAAACACATGCAGAAAAAGCAAGTTACTGAAAAAGGTTCAGGATTTTACACAAGTTTTCTTCACTGTTACCATTTTTTTATCACAACCCAAAGCGATAGCAATGCAGTATCCTGTGATGCACACTTAGCTTTTATCCTTACAAGTTATTTTTTTAACTCATATTTTAAATATCGATTGGAAAACCAGTAAAATCTCTTTTTACTCTCAGGCTTGTCTGCAGATGCGCAGTATGTTTTCTGTGACAACTCTAGTAGTTAATATCTCGAACAGGTTTCAGCAACACTGCAGCATTATCACAAGGCAGGGTAACTCTTAAATGTGTAATAAACAGCTTCAATCAGTTTTAACCTATATAAAGTTCTCAGAGGTAACTGTTGTGACATGTAAGCAGTCAAATGTAGAAGACAGCTCCAGCTCATTCTGCAGAATTGTGTTCAGTTACACATTGATTTGCAACTCTCAAAGCTTCTGTGCAGACTATTCCACCACTGCTAATGTCCAGGCTAGTTTTTTCACCATGGGAAATTAAATTACATCAATATGTGTAAGCTCAAGCAACATCTCCAAGCCATTGAATAGTCCCAGACAGTATTTAACTTGAATTCTCTGCTAATGTTTAAGGCTATGGAGACCTATCTATAAGTATTTATGTGTCTATTGTCCAAGTGTTCCTTGAGTTCACAGTCATAATGATGACTGCAAACTAAAAATAGTTGAAATGAAGAGACAGGTGAAGACAGAAGACTGCAATGAAGCTTCTGTATCTCAGTGGTTATCTAACCTTATTTATGATACATGTATGTTTCTGAGGGATGCAGTGGCATATCTATAATAGCTCAAGGGGCATGAATTAAAGAAGTGTTCCAGCACTGTTGAAGGCTGCACCCTGCCAACTGAACCATAAGTTATCTAACTCTGTGAGATAGGGATTTAAAGGTTAAGAAGTGGATGCTTCTGTGACCTGCCTGCTGCATTGGCCAACAGCACAT